ACGTTTTGCATAGATACATAAAACTGAGGGCTGCAGAGGCCGCCTCGAGGACTCCCCAGGCTGCTGAGAAGGCGAAAGGGAAGCTTCCGTCACTGCGTTCTAACTTCAGTGGGCCAGTCCCAGGTTTTGTGTCTTTTCCCCTAGCAGTCCGAGGCTAGCAGGATCCCCGCTGTCCACTACCTCCCGGAGACTCGTAGCCAGCCGGGCTCTCCTGGTGACCCGGTGCTCCACAGCCGATTAGGGGTCTCTCTCAAGAGGTCACCTTTCCTTCTATCAGCCCCGCCCCTTGTCCCGCGAGCCCAGGGCTGCGGCAAGACCCGGACCACCCGGAGGCGCGGGTGGGGGATGGGGTGAAGGGAGGAGGTAGGAGAAGGGAGCTCCTGAATAAAGCTGACCCTGGGCAAAATTGCAAACCGAATCGACCTCAGGCACGGCGGTGGGTGAAGCCCCACGCCCCGGCAGTGGCACTTTAGCATTTTCCGAGATCCGTGCGCCTGGACTTTGCCTGCTGGGGGAGTTTTTTGTACAGCCCCGCAGCCCGGCGCCGAGCGGAGGTGCAGCCTTGCGGCGCACCCCCGCCCCCCGCCCTTGCACGTGACTCCTACAGGCCAGTCAGCGCCCGGGAACGCGAGCGCAGGGGCGAGGGGACCCACGCTGGGAGCTGGGGGAAGCGGAGGCGGCCGGCACAGTGGCTGCGAGAAGCACCGCTGCTGCCGTAGCTCCCGGGGCGCCCAGGGGAGCGCGCGCCCGCCCTCCAGGAAGCTCAAGTCCCGGCAGGTACGGCTTTTTCTTCCGTCGCCATGCTCTCTCCCGCAGTCCGCGAATCCAGGGCTCCTCTGCGCTGTTTGCCTGGGAGTAGAGAGGTAACTGGTGGATGGAAAGGAGATGTTGGTCACCCCCTCCGCCCCCCGATTGGTCAAAGACTGCTCAACTTCGGGCATTGGCTTAATAGCGTCTTTATATCAAAGTAAGATTTGGAGGGAAAGCGAAGAGGGATATTCGAAGTGCTTTTGGGTGTGTGTGTGCGTGTGTGTGTATGTGTGTGTGAACTTGAACGTTTTTAATCCCCGCCCCCGCGTGTATATTCTCCAGCCCTTGTTTCTGCACTTCTCAGGCAGGTCCTGGATGGGGATGATGGCCGTGCGAAATCACACTGACCAACTGACCCGGGACAGGCCGCACGGAGGGGCTCAGACAGAGCTGCGTGGCTCGTCGGGACTCCCGGGACTCAAGAGTGGTGGTGGGAGGCAGCGCGACTGGGCCTCGGGCCCCAGGGAGGCGCTTCCAAGTCGGGAACGGCTACTGAGCGCCTGGACCTTTTATGCCCTTCTGGTCAGCCTCCTAGCCCTCCTCACTGGGGTCCAGGGAGTCAAACACAACCCACGAAGCTAACAACCCCACCCACTCACACTACTTCTGGGCAAAAGTAGCCGAGGGCCGGAACCCGGGAGGAAAGCAGTGACGTCCCTCCTCCAGCCACGGCTAGCTGCCGCGTCGCTTGGCTTTGAGCTGGGGGTCAGGGGGTCCTTCACGGAGAGCAGGATGCCTGGGAGGTAAATTGCCACCAGGCTGAGGGAAAGAAGAGGCTTTTCGGTTTGGAAACGGTGGAGAGGGACCCAGGGCTGGTAGGATTTGGGGCAGCGCGGTGACCCTGCGGGGAAGGTTGGGGAAGCGCCGCAGGAGAGTATTTCCTGGGTTCCTCAGAAAAGGAATAGACAGCCAGGAACAGGTTTCAGGCTTTTAAAGAAAGGTTCCATTGGGATACCCCCCGCCCAACTTCTGAGTCTTCACCTTCCCCAGCAGCGGCCAACTTTATTATTGCTGGCGAGTGTGGTGCGTTCATGTGTGACAGTTTCTGCGCAGCAGGCCGAGAACCGAGACGCGAGCTGAGCTGAAAGAGCTGGAGTGACTTGTATATAAACGGGGACATTAGGGCAATCTTTCAATCCTCCCGCAATCAGAAATAAATCGGAAAAGGGCTGTGAGCTAAATCGCTAAGAAAGCATTTCCTGTTTGGTCTGTGAATTTGAGGTGAACTGGAATGCGTGGCCAGGAAGGGAAGAAAAACCGGGAGCAGGCCTGAGCCCCCATGGCGAGGCCCGACCTGCCATTCTCAGTAGCTCGCGCTGCTACCTCCGCGGATGCCTGAACCGAGGCTTAATAATAGAAACAGGCAGAATGATTTCTTGTCTTTCCAGAAAGGTATTGAGGGGTATTTTCTTCACCTTCTGTTGTTCAGTAATCCAACGCCCAGGTAATGTACCAGCCATTTAAAAAGGCAGAGCATGTAATAAAGACAAATGCTAGATTTATGGCATTTTTAGCATTTACATTTTAAAGCTTGTAAATTAGTGTCTGTATGTATATTGGAAGTTGTCTTACAAAATTATAAATCTTCCTTTCCTGCAGTTATGTGAGAAAAAATTATGATGTTATGTTTTAGAACTGCAGAAGTTGAATATTAGAGAAAATACAATGAAATAGAAAAACTATTTGATGTAAAAATTAAATACTGAATATTTTATCAAAATAAACCTAGTTATCAAAATAAACCTATGTATTTACTTATTGAAGCCCAGAGATTCCTATGAGGTACTATTTTTTTATCTTCATTTTCAAAGAGTGAAGTTAGTGATCTCAGATCAAATATTTTTTTAACATTTTATTTTTAAGTAATCACTACACCCAACCGTGGGGCTTGAACTCACAACCAGGAGTTCAAGAGTCACATCCACGGACTAAGACGGGTACTCCTCAGATCAGATTTTTTTGTATCCACTGTCTAGCCAGACTTCTTACTGGAAAGAAATGTCCAACAAAACAATAATTTGTTGTGTAGTTTTGAAAGCAAATAACAAACCATCTCAGAGTTAACATGTGACTATAGGATACAGTGGTGTTAACTCCATTATCATTAGTGATGTTGCAAAAATGGTTAAAAACATTATATAACGTGTATTAGAAATTCCATTTTCAGAATTTTTTACAATAATTAAGATGCCCATTATAGTATGATTATATCTGAGGCACTGTCTTATGGCACACTAGAAATCTGTAATAATAATGGCCAACAATTGTATAGAACTTTGTGCCTGTTATAACTTTTATAAAAACCCTGTTATAAGTGCTTTATATATATTAACTTATAATCCTCACAATCCTCAAGTGACTCTACAAGATAGATGCCTTTAACATTTGCATTTTTTCAGATGAGGAAACTGAGGCACAGAGGCTAACTAATGTGTCTAAAGTCATCCATTCAGTAAGTGATGGAGCCTGGATTTAGTGTAATAAAGGTCAATTAATATCTTTAATTCTACTATTGCAATGAAAAAGAAACTACTGCTAAAAGTGACTACCTCATCTTAAGGAGAAAAGTGGGAGTGTTGCTGTCAGGCTCAAACCCTGGAGGCCCACAGATTCTGTCCCTCACTCCCCTTAATTGTATTTTGATCTTTGACAAGTTTCAAAACTTTCTAATGATGCTTCAGTTCTATCTTTCGTAAATGGAGGCGACACACTTTTCCTTAGTGGAGCTGTGACAATAAGGACCTGGAACAAAGCAGGTGCTTCAAAACATAAAGCCTTTATTTTATCAGAAAAAAATGGCTTGGGAAAATAAAAACACAGGATACAAGGATATAACCAAGTCCCATGAATGCTTCTTCCCCCTCAAGCAGTGTCATTGGTGTTCTGATTCCCTACATGGGTGAACCAGGGATTCTATATGGAAAAACCCATTCAGTAAATCCAAATAGCCCAGGGAGTAGTTCTGTAAAGTGAACTTGGACATTCCTTTCACATTTCTGGTTTTGAAACCCAATCTGCAACATTGCTAAAATATAATTATTTGCAGGAAAAATATCTTGTCTGATTTGACTTCCACATGGTAAAGTGTGTGGATGGATAAGAATTTTCACAATCCTTTTCACAGAAATTCAGCAGACACTGTGCTCATATATAAACATTTAGACTCTACCTCTACTTAAAAAAAAAAAAAGATTACAAAGAAAAATTTCCTTGGTTGCTGGTTTTTATAGAGTTTGTCTTTGTCTTTCACGGGCAATCTAAAGTTTTTTCACAGCCTGGGACACTTGGGGTTAGGTGGGACAGAGACTAGCGATATTTCTTGGGTCCCAGGCAGTGCCCTGGAAACCCGAAACCCTTGAACTTAGAAAATACTGTGACAAGAATATGCTTGAAAAATAAGACAAAATTAAAGTCGTTCCTGACAAGCAAAACAAAAAAAAAAAAAAAAAAATGACCTGGGTCACTACCCATAATTACATGTCCAATAACCGTGAAGCCCCATGTCCCTAAAACTGCCCTCCCTAGGCTTCCACGAAGCAGCCAGACAGACCCCCGGGCCTCCGCACGACAAAGACCACAGCTTCCTTGGGAGCCGCAGGCTTCTTTGAGAGAGAGTGACGTTTTCCTGGGTTAGCAGTTCGAGAGAAGCAACCTCGAGCATAGCGAGGCTCCTGATGAACTTCCTCTTTTTGTTCCCCTTTTAGGACCTGTAGAAGGACGCAGCCGGTCCCTCTGCATTGGAATCAGCCTATTGCACCCAACGCCGGAGTCTGCGGGTGTCCTGAGGACTGTGCGCGGCGACGGCCGCAGGCGTGACCCGAAGGCCCGTGCCCCACGCAGGCGCCCAGGCACCACCCCGCGTCTTCTGCCACTCGGGACCTCTAGGCCCAGGGGTAGATTCAGCCCCTCCTCCAGCACCTCCAGGAAGAACCAAAATTTCAATTTGGGATTTTCCTATAAACAAGAGCCTAGAGTCGTTTTTGCTCGATGCTGGATTTAATACGTGTATATTTTTGAGAGATTTGTTTTTCTTTACTTTTGATTTTTGATCTGCGTTTATGTGACAGACTCTCACCTGTACATTATTATTATTATTATTATTTTTTCTATCATTATTATTATTGTCTCTCCCTGCATCGCGCCTTGACTCGCGAGTGACGGGACTCCGAAGCGGAGAGCTCGCGGGGGCGATGTACCAGAGCTTGGCCATGGCGGCCAACCACGGCCCCCCTCCCGGGGCCTACGAGGCGGGCGGCCCCGGCGCCTTCATGCACAGCGCGGGCGCTGCGTCCTCGCCAGTCTACGTGCCCACGCCGCGGGTGCCCTCATCTGTGCTGGGCCTGTCTTATCTCCAGGGCGGAGGCGGGGGCGCCGCGTCCGGAGCCACCTCTGGCGGCAGCTCCGGTGGGGCCCCGTCGGGTGCCGGGCCCGGAACCCAGCAGGGCAGCCCGGGCTGGAGCCAGGCGGGAGCCGAGGGAGCCGCCTACACCCCCCCCGCCGGTGTCGCCGCGCTTCTCCTTCCCGGGAACCACTGGGTCCCTGGCGGCCGCCGCCGCCGCCGCCGCGGCCCGGGAAGCCGCGGCCTACAGCAGTGGTAGCGGAGCTGCGGGTGCGGGCCTGACGGGCCGCGAGCAGTACGGGCGTGCGGGCTTCGCAGGCTCCTACTCAAGCCCCTACCCCGCCTACATGGCCGACGTGGGCGCGTCCTGGGCCGCGGCCGCCGCCGCCTCCGCCGGTCCCTTCGACAGCCCGGTCCTGCACAGTTTGCCCGGTAGGGCCAACCCCGCTGCCCGACACCCCAATCTCGGTGAGTACTGAGCGCAAGCATCCGGTCTGTGTACTGGAGCAGGCTGTCGTGAGCACTGCTGGGGACATTTAATTTTTCACCAGTGTGCGTTGTAGGGTGGCGGGCGGTAGGGAAGGGACAGAATGCGTGAGTTTCAAGGAAGACAGAAGCTGGAGGCTCCGAACGCTGGCGGCGGTGAAAGTCACAGCCCCTGAGAGCCCAGATTCTGTTAAGCGGGAACGAGCCTACTCTCTGGTGCTTTTCTAAAGAGAGAGGACTGCAGGGTGGCAGGGTCTGAGTGTGTCCCCGTTAAGCCCCAGACGTCGGGTTTGTGTGACCCCGCCAAGCCCATCTATAGGTGACTGTGGGAGGGTGACAGGCTCACTGGAGAGCTGGGAGGGGCAGCTCCGGGAGCCCTTGGTGGACAAGCGTTAGTGATCGCGGGGTTTCTGCTCCCATTTCCTCTCGGCCCTCCCTTGGTGTCCTCAGCAGGGAACTGATTACATTGGCGAGGGCCCAAGATCTTTTGGGCCATTTGGCGGCCCAGTTGGAGGATCCTTCCGAGTGGCAGATGATTCTCCTGTCGGGATTTCACACCTGGTACAAAGGAGGGACTGGAGCAATGGAGATGGGTTGAACTGGGGCTGGCACCTTATGGGTGCCCCGGGGCCAGAGCGCACTGCGCCCTGCGCGGGTCTGCGGTGGCACGTGTGCGGGGTGTATCGAAAGCGCATACCTGATCAGCGTCCAGGGGAGCCACGGGAAGCCCAGAAGGGCTTCTCTATAATGCCTGACTTAAATGGAGATTTTGCAGCAGTTTCCCTAAGTTGAGCGTCCTCTTGTCCTGAGGGCTGAGGTTAGAAATAACAATCCTAATGGGCACCATTGAATATTTCCTGTGAAATGGAAAAACTGGGAACTTACTGCAAACCTGCGCACTCTGGCTCCGATTTACAGACTGAACAAAATGAAGTCTGAGAAAGGGTCTGCTTGCTTTGGAAAGGCAAAGTAAAGGAAGTGGGAACCACTAGTTCAAAATGCAGACGACCTATGGCCTGTGGAATTTCAGGAAGGGCCAGGATTGGGTTTGGTTGGAGATGGTTTTTGCGGGGGAGGGGAAGCCCAGACCTGAGAAACAAAGTTAACATTTATTGACTACCTACTAAGTGCTAAATCCTTTCACATTTGTTCTCACTTTGAAGAGTAAAGCTTGTGGCTCCCAGGTTTCCAGTCTTAGGCTGGCTCTGAGAAGGGCCCTGGCTTTGAAGGGCTTTTAAATTATCCTCTGACCCTGGGTGGCCAGGGAAGGACCCCAGGGGGGTCCAGCCAAATACACATCCCAGGTAAACTGATTAACCATGGAAGTGGCGCCGGGGCTGGGTCTGTGGCTCCTAGTTTCCCCCTCCCCTTCTCAGGGGAGCCAGACGGCACCCCCCAGGGGAGGAGGGGCAACTGGCTCTGGAGCCTCTCCTAGGGCCTGAGCCAGATAGCTTGCTTGAAGCATCTCCATACAATGGCAGCTGGGAGTGGGTAGTTGGGTGTGTGGGGGGGTGGGGTGCGGAGGGGGTGGTGGTGTGAGCTTTGGCTCTATTTCCTCAGAACTCTCCGTTGCCTCTAGAACTCTCTCTCTGGACATTATGTTTTAAAATAGGGAGAAATGGCCCCAGAGTTCCACTTCTTTTAACTTGTGGTGGGAGTGGAAAGGTTGCTTCCTAACCCCTGTAACCTGGAATGAGAATTTGGTGTTTGGTTAGGGAAAAAAAAGTTCAAAGTCCAAAAATGGAGCATATGCTTTTCTGGTCATCAGAATTACAACCACAACAATGTTTTAAAAAAAAAAAAAAAAAGTGCTGGGTGAGTGCACACAGTATTTAAATTCTAACATGTAACCCATACTATTTAGGAGGATGCTGGAGTAAGTAATGTTTCCCAAATTTCAGGGTCAGCAGATGACAAGCTAACCTCCAAGGGGCACCTCCTTGCTGAGAAGTGTGGCCTGTCTTCCCAGTACTCTGCTCTGTTCCACTAGTTCAGGAAGTCCCACCTGGTGTAGCAGCTGGATTATCTCCTCTATACAGAGCCAAGTGTGTTAAATGGTCTTCATGAAAGCTTCCGTGTTATCTTTGTGAGAGAACGTGAGACATGTGGAACCTGTTGGCATTCCCATCCTCAGCATGTTCTGTAGGTGGCACTTACCTAAAAGCAAGTTAATTACAAAAACGGTGCATGTAAATAAATATATATTTTTTAATCTTTTCATCCTATCCCTTGACCCCTCCTGTAAATGCCTGCTAACTTTATCAAGGATCAGCTCCGACATATTAGCTGATGCTGAGGGATAGAAGAAACATGATGACAAGTGATTACTGATTCCATGATATTTATTGAGAGCCTGTTGTTTGGAGTTGCCACTGGGCCCCCAGATGGCAAGACAGCATGGTAGTATGACAGGCAAATGTTCATTCAATCCCGGTAATCCTGTGATCTTGGGCAAATTACTTACCTCTCAGTCTCCCCTCTTTTTCTGTGAAATGGGATAATCCTAACTACTTTCAGTATTGTCTTATGTTAGAAAAATAAGGCAGTGTTTGCGAAGTTGTTGGTTTTGGCCCATAAAAGATGGCTATTTTGTTAAGCAGCTACTCATGATCATGTAGAGTGACCTATTTTTTTCTGATTTTCTCAGGACTGAGGGGTTTCCCAGGACTTGGGATTTTTAGTGCTAAACCTAGGGCAGTCCCCAATACACAGGGATGGTTGGTGACCCTAAACAGACATGAAAATGGGTAAATGACCCAGTAGCATGTTGCAGTAATGAGCTAAGAGGAAAAGAGAGAAAACAGAAGTGGTTCTTTCTTCTGTCTAGGAATCTGGAAGTCTTCACCTAAGTGGTGTCATCTGCATTTGGTCTGGAAGGGTAAGTAGCAGGAGGTGGCCAGGAAAAGCATAGCACCTACAATTAAAAGAAAGAAAGAAAGAAAAGGACAGGAAAAGTTAAACTCTTCATTTGCCATCACATTTTGTGGTACTGTGAAATGGTACAACACAGCTTGGCTTTCGTGTAAATAATATATTTACAGCCATAGGTAAAACCACACAGACTAACACACTCTTCATCACAGAAACTAGTTTCAATTTTAGTGAGAAGAAAGAAGAGAACAGCTTTATTTTTTATGAAGTATTAACTGCCTTGTTTTTAACAATAGTTAATATCTTGCCAGAGTTCTTATGTTGGTTATTGGAAAAGACAAAAATCAAAGTACGAGAAGCTAACAAGGGCCTCTGTAAGGCCGTGCACTTAGGTTGGAAGGAGTGAAACCTTGACCGCAATGTGTATGAACTTAAGTTCATTCCAAGTTCAATATGAGCCTGACCCTGAAACAACCATTGACATCATTAATTAGGCTGCATTAATGGAATTATGTGACCTTACTGAGGGCAGGTAGAGTCTTAGTCATATTTAAGTGCCAGGCACATGCTGGGCACTTGGCAAATATTTGAGTAGAGATCTAGGAGGTAATTGCCACAGTACTCTGCCCAGGTCAAAACACACAGAGTGGCTGCTTTAGAGGCCCACTGGGGAGCCTGGGGACAGAGGGAGCAGGCTGGGAGAGGGTTCTGGAACCCTTAAGTTGTTTTAGGTCAGTTAAGAGGGAGAGAGAGAATGACTGTGTAAAAATAACTGATGGGGCGCCTGGGTGGCTCAGTAGGTTAAGCATCCAACTCTTGGTTTTGGCTCAGATCATGGTATCGGGGTCAAATTGATTGAGCCCCATGTCCAGCTCTGAGCTCAGTGGGGCGTCTGATGGAAACTCCCTCTTCTTCTCCTTCTGCCCTTCTCTCTCAAATCGATCAATCAATCAATCAATCAATCTTTAAAAAAAAAAAAAAATCTGAAAGGCAAAAGCCTACATACGTCCTTTCAACGTTGTGTTGCTCCAGGTGAGCGAACATTAGGTTTGGCAAGAACGCTTTCTTATACATGATTGTAGTTGTTGAGTTGGAATATGGAATATGGCTTCTCTTAATAATAACCCCCTGGGCACTGAGAGTGCTTAAGGGGATGTGGGTTACCCTCTGCCAGCGGAGCTGGGCAGGGAATTCTTGCATTTCAAGGGCTAGAGCCCATGTTTTTATGCGCAGGAGATAGCTAGAGGGGGGTAGGAGAGCTGTGTCTCCTTGTGAAGGAACCAATCAGAGTGGTTGCAAAGGTATATCAGTTTGTCAAAACTCATGGGAATGTACTTTTAAAACAGGAGTCTTTGTATGTACGTTATAGCACAATAAAGTTGATTTTTGTTTTATTTAGTGCCTGCAAATACTTAAAGCAGAAAAGGAGGCCGTGGAAATGATGTATACATATGCCACGAAGGAAATAGTATTGTAACAGATGTGACTGGAAAAGCAAAGAAAATATGCTTTATGATGCAATAACAATTCTTTTTGGGTAACAGAGAAAAAAGCAATTATAATGCTGTCAAAGGATCTCAAATTTTTAAAATAATTTTAAGGGTTGATTAAAAAAATAACGCAGTCAAATACATGTATATTATCCAGTGTCTGCGGGGTGATCTCTTTAAAAGCTTTACTTCATTCGCGGGGTCATGAGAGTTTGTTTATGGTACAGGTCAGTGGAAAACTCTCTCAAGTGTTTTCTGGATCTTTGGGGAACTGCTTATCAATGAAGCCGTTTTCTTTCAGAGCCGGTTCATTTATGTAGGGAACTTTGTGAGATCAGCTCTGAAGTAGCTTGTTTGGCTAGAGAATGATTTGTCAGTCTCCGAGAAAACCAAAGTTGTTTGACTTTCCGGTTACCACCCTGACCAGGTCAGTCAGAGCTGGGGCTGGTCTGTGGTGCTAGACTGAGAACCAATGAAGTGGGGCAGGCGTGTGCGGGGTGGCCAGGGGTGTGTTGCTGCTTCCAGTGAAATCTGTCACCAGCCCAATTGTGTCCCATCAAAAGGTCAGGCCACATTTGCTGGGCACTTTCTAAGCACTCAGGTAGAATGATGCACAGGAGA